TTCGAAAGATATTCTAAGTTACTCTAATTTAAGCATAACAATTTATCATCAAGCTCATCAAATGTGTCACATAACCAAAAAAATAAAAATAATCAAATAAAGCACACAATCACCACTTAAGTGGCCTTCTTTGCTTTACCCTTTTTAGTAAAAATTTTCCTAACAGCAAAGTCTAACGTATAACTGATCATATGATTTTTTTTTATTTATTTATTTATTTTTTTTTTCCAATTTACGCACCAGAAAAAAAATAATAAGAATAAATTTCACTACACAAGGCTCAGCAAAATATTTACTTTTAACACATGGCTCTAAGACATTATTCAAACATGCTTTCTTTTCTTTTGAATAAATTTCCAAAACTCTAAGAAACCTTTTAACTCAAATTGCAACAGTTGAGATCATTTTGTTCACATATTTTCAGTATCAAAGCAACAATACACAGATTGAGAAGAAAGAAAAATCAAGATAAAATATCAACACATAAGCTTCTTTTTGTCTTCAAATACTAAGGCATGAAAAAAAAAAACAAAATATAGCACAACACTTAGGTTTTAAAATTTAACCTTTAAACATTCTAACTTTACTCCTTAAACTGAATTAACAAACATAAATCTCAAACTTGCAGCATATACTAACACCCAATTCACCATACTTAAACACACGTGTAAATATATACTATCCAAATTTCACACCAATTTAACAAGGTAATAAGATTGACACAAAAACAAAGTAAAAATCAGCACATAACTAACAAGGAGATAAAACTCAAAACATGCTCTGTTTTTGAAAAAAAATTTTAAGGTATGAACCTGAGTTATTATCCTCTAAAATTAAGCACAATCACTACAGCATATTCATGCATAACAAACCTCCATTTTCAGCACAAAATTGTTACAACTTAGGCTTAGAGAAGGTACTGCTTTCCTTCACATTATTCAAAAACAGAACACCCAAGAAGAAATCCGACTTCAAACGAGAATTCGGTAGCACGTATGACATATATAACTATCATGCAATATATGAAAACGACCATAATAACGAGAGGATTCAAAGGAGTTACCCGTGTTCGGGAATCTTTGAGCTATTGGACGGGAAACGGTCCCGACAGCGGGTTGAACAATCGGCTTCGAAACTGGACGATAA